TTAATAATTATATTTTTAATATCCATGAAGGCTTTTGTTGTTTTAATGTATAATTTTTTGCGAAATAATTTTCTGTTTTCCAATATCAATAATAATAATTTCGATATTTAGATAGAATTAATGGATAGTTTTGGACTCAATGCCTATGATTTTTACAAAATACACATATAGTATATCATTAAATATTTGATAGGAAGATTTTGTTGATGGATTTGTAATTATTGTCAATAATGTATCAGTTGAGAATTTTTGAATTTCTATGTTATTTTTGATTATGTTTACTTATATCTCCATTATAATTGTCATGGCATACTGTATCTTTAGATATGAGATATATTAAATATTATAGTTTTCTGAATTTCTTTAATAGCTTCTATAATCTTTAAATCAATATTTAATAATTATTTTCTATATATTATAAAATATATTATTTATATACATACATACATATTTATTTTTTTCATTTATCTTAATCTTTATAAATAGAATATTTTAGCTTCTAATATTTTTATAAAATAGAATATTATAATCTAATTTTTATCTTTGTAACAAAATCTGAATCTGGCTTATGTTATCTTACTAATTTTATATTTCTAAAATGATCAGGTAATCTTGATTCTAATGGATTTGATTTTTAAAAAATCAAGAATATAATTAAAAACAAAAAAAAAATGTGGATTTTATAGATTATCAATTTTAATTTTGATTGATTACTTTTAAATACTAATTATTATTGATTAATCAAATTTGACAGTTAAATTTTTGATGATGCAAGACTTTTGTAAGCTACTGTATTTCAATAAAATATTTTATATTAAAAAGAGATTTTAAAAAAAAGTTTTTAAAAAAGTTAAATAATTTTAATTTTATTCTTATTATATTTGCATATTTTTAATATACAGTATTACTTTTTTTTTTTAATTCAATTTTTATATAATTTATTATATTTTAGTGATTAAATAAAAGATATAATAATAACAATAAACCAACAATAATATATAAACTAGAAAAGTATTTATTTAAAGTTTATTACAAAGTAAAATATTATTTTTAAGATCAAACTTAAAAACTTTATGCTTGTAATAAGTTAATTAAACTTAATATTATATTTAGTTATAACATTTATCATACTGTTTAAATAAATATATACTCTTATATTCAATTGATTAATAAATAAATAATCTAACCTGGCTATGAACAATATGAAAAAAAAAATAACCAATCAAATAGAAAAAAAAATCAAAAATTAAAAACTTAAAAATTTATAAACTTTTGAAACAATTATATTATATAATAAAGCAATTAATTATTTTTTTTTAAATCAGGTGATCATGAAATTAATACCATTCTCAAAAATTAAAATAAAATTCATTATTCAATATACAGTATCTAAAATTATATATGCTAATTTAATACTTTAATCCATAATCAATTTATTTGTTAATTTTTTTTTTTACAATTATTAATATTAGTATGTTTAACGATTGTCTATGTATAACCACAATATTATTATTAATGGTCAGATCTTGCTTCATTTGTCACAATGGCGGCCTCAACGTACTTCTTTAATTGGTTAAATATCGATGAAAAAGGAGAAACAAATTGACAATTTAGACAAGAGATACTGTTCCATAATCGCACTCGTGGTTTTTTTCGACGTATTGTAGTTTGGGAAGACATAATAGTCAAATTAATGCACAAATATGGATTCTTAATATACCGTAGATGCAATTATCGAGCCCGAAATTGTATGAAGAAGGCTGCACGTGTAATTTAAGAATTGAAATCAATCTCCGCGTAAAAATGATCAATTATTTTTCTATTTTTAGTTAATTAACTTGTTATAGGATAGAATGTGATTGTGTAACAGGTGCATGCATTACTAAGCAGTTTATCACGTGCTATACCGGTTTTTTTTTCACCGTATGGCTTTGTCTGTAACAGACAATGCCATGATTAGGCTGAGATTTTGATGAAAAAACAATGTAGATCAAATTTATCTAATCAACCTCGAAAAAAACCGTGTACGCTTTAAGTTTTTGTGTGTCTCTTATTTAATTCTTACCTCAAATCACTGCACGTCGTGTGAGTTCTTTTTCTTTATCACACTACCCTAATCGCATCTTTGCTTCGCGTAGTATGTCTAAAGGAACTAAGGAAAAAAAACCAACGCCAATACCAACGTGGAAAAATGAAAAAACTGTCACACACGACCTTCCTGAGAAAAAAAAGAGGTCTTTATGGTCGAGGACTGCAAGCTACATTATTGAACGACAAATTGGTAATTATTATTTATGAGATCAACTATCCGTTCCTCTTTCCTTCGTTTTTATAACACGATTTAATTTTCTCCTAACCCCATGCTTTAGAATTGCCTCTAAAAATCATATCTGCCATTACACTCTCATACCTCTTCAGGCCTACATCTCATAACCCGTTTTCAAAATTCCTCTTCATTTCATACCCCATACATTCCACCGACTCCAATGGAAACACCACAATTGTATATGGAAAGGGATATTGGGATCTTGCTTACATTGCTTTTTGGATTGTAGTTTTCACACTGACCAGAGAGTTCTTTATGCAATATATATTAAAACCATTTGGCATATGGGCAGGCATTAAGAGTAAAAGGAAGGTTACTAGATTCATGGAACAGGGTTATGTTGTTATATATTTTACCATAACGACTACTGTTGGTTTGGTAAGTCTTTCTGACATTCCTTCACTTTCTTTCACGCACATATTTAACTATATCGATTTATTATGTGAAGACGATTATGCGTGACAGTCCTTATTGGTTTTATGAGACGAATTACTTTTGGATTGATTATCCGCATTACGTACTTAAACCGCTTGTGAAATCCTATTATCTCATCCAATTTGCCTTCTGGCTTCAACAAATAATCGTATTGATCCTTCAACTTGAGAAACCTCGTAAAGATTTTCTCGAGATGGTCGCACATCACATCATTACATGTTTGCTTATTGGCGGAAGTTATTTGTTTAACTTCACAAGGATTGGGAATGCGGTATTTATCACCATGGATTCTTCGGACATTTTTCTTTCGGTGAGTAATCAACAATAGATAAGGTCAATTGCGCGTGGAAAAAAAATTGTGTCTTGCTTATTTGCCTTCTATGTTAATATTAGATAGCCAAAAGCATGAAATATCTGGGATTCCCAGGATTCTCCACTGACCTAATGTTTGTGTTCTTTATGATAACATGGGTATACACGCGTCATTATTTGTATGGGTTGATTATCTATTCTACATGGGTCGAACCATGCCTTCCCGAGAATAACAAATGTATTTGGGATCCATTGAATGGTTATTGGCTAACTTGGTGGTCTAGATACATTATTTTGCTTGGATTGGTCTTACTACAGATTCTAATGATTTATTGGTTCGCACTCATCTTACGAATTGCGTGGAACGTTGTTACCGGGAAGAACGCCGAAGATACAAGAAGCGATACCGAAGAGTATGAGTCGATTGCATATTTCTTTTTGAGAGGTTGAATATAAACGCATTAACGCTCTTTTTATAATAGCGATGATGATCTCTTTATTGAACCAGAAAATCCTACTAACACCAAAAAAACCAAATAGACAAACCTCTCCCACATGTTTTTTGGCATTTGTCCTCATGGTAAGATTTCACTCAAAAGCAAAGTCCTAACTGGGCAAAAGAAAAAAAAAAAAAAAAGAATTGCCTCATTTATCAATTTGATATTATGGATGATTGTAGGGATGTAGAAAAAAAAAAAGTTTATTTATGTTGTATATTTAAGTTCATCTTGATGAAACGGGATAGAAAAAAGGCATAATCAATAATGGTGTCCAAGGGCATTTATTCTGTTGAAAATATTTTTACTTAAAATTTCACGAACGTTTCGATGGCGAATTTTAAATAGTTCGAGAGATTATGGCAGATGTATCATTTTATCAATTCTTTATTTAATATGCAGTAAATGAAGAAAAATTCATTTTCATTCACTCAAACCTTTGCAATATCTTTAAATCATGTCTGTGACGATTGGCTTGTGTTCATTAGCCGAGATCAACATTGTGGTGATGATAAAAAAGTTCTTTTCATTTTTTTCAAAATATGAGATCAAATACCCTTTTTACAAAATAATAATTACACCATAGTCACAACCAAGTTAATCCTCCCGCCGAATGTCAATAAATTCATCCATGTTATGATGACCGAAAAACGAAATGCAACCAATTAACTAAACCCAACTTAATCGTATCAACCCTTTTAAGTTTAATATTGCCCGTGACCCACCCTTTAATCGAGTTTCCTATCTTCGAACCATTCCTCCGGCACTATCATCAATTGCCTTCCCATGGTCCCAATGCATATGCATGATGAATATAGGATGCACTATGACCGTTGGAGGTGTATAAGTATAATTAACTAATACGTGAATCTAAATATTTTTTTTTAAAAAAGAACGTATACATACAGGAATCCACGAACGCACGCCAAAGAAGTCGGCATGTGTGAAACTATATAATTGGAAGGCAAATGTTCTTTAATCGATTGAACGAAATCTTGATGTAATTATTAAATATTCTTGATGAAATTTTTCCAACCTATAGATTCCATTAGATACAAGTATATACATGACAACAGTCCCTATTGAAGAAAATATGACGGACATTGCGAATCCGTGTAACGTTCGATCAAACAGGAACCATAATGCTATCGATATCAGAGCCAGTGTACAAGAAACTTGGTAATTACTATTCCACGGCAGTTTCTGTGGGAAGAAGAAATAAATAAAGAAATAAATAAATAAGTAAATGTGTATCTTCATCCATATGGAATGACGGAGATAGATCTTACCGTTGCAGCGTATGCAATTCCAATGAACCCTCCCATACATCTAATTAAACCCAGAGTTGAGCATAAGTTCCGAGTCTCGAAATTCCAACCTCGCAAGTTTCTTATTTGATCAACTAATTACAACACCAACAATCGTTTTCCTCACCTAATGACATTACTCCATTCCCTTTGAAATTCCTGAGGTTTTTTCCTGAGCCAATAATCTACCAGTGGAAATAATGAACCTATCAATATTGCTGATAAACCGCATGTTGGAGGAATCCATGCTGCCGTGTCAATAAGTTTTGCGGTGTCCTTTGGATATTCTGTTATGTGGTTTTGAGTAAGCAGGTGGTCGACTATAAAAGAGGTGAATGAACCTAGTAGAAACAAGGTCAAGAAGCGGGGAGGGTAATAACTTAACCACCACGTTTGCGGGAGTTTTGTGAGTTGTGGCACAGGAGTACTCATTTTCTGAGGCGGTTTTAACTTAAATGTCTTAGGTTCTATATAATTCTTGTCCTTTACTAATGATTCGTTATGTATTACGGGTGAATTACTCTTATGCTTGGGCTTGTGAATTCTTGACGTTAAAGGCCTAGTCTTTTTGTGTGAGCGCACGGATTTTGTTGAAGGTCGCCCTAATTTAGCAACTGATGGATTATTGGTTGCCGCTGCTTTGATCAATGTCTCGATCGATATAGAAAATGTGTCCGCATCAATAAATGCAAGCGACGTATTGGAGGCTGTTGATGCAAGTGAGGTGGCGGTGGCGGTGTCAGAAGAAAAATGAAAATTATTCATGATTGTTGATTTCTTATTAAAGGTTGATGTATAATGATTGTTGGATATTTTGGGACCTTGTGGAGCGACACTTTCCAAAGACAGATGATGAACAAATGAGTGAGAAAGGTTGCATCAGAGGTAAAAAACCATATATATTTATATATATATATATTTATTTATTTCCCAGATTTGCTGATTGAGAAAAAATGAATAACTGAATTTTTGGGTGTTAATTTATATAAAAATCAAGATTCGATGCTTTATTAATTCTTTCAAATCAGGATTGGCGCATTATTATTTTTTTTTTTATGCACCGCGATACTTATAAAAAATATCTGATGTTCAGGCAGATAAATGAACTTAAACAATTAAGGCAAATTTTACTTGAAATCACACGTCGTTTTCAAGTGTATCGTGTCATTGAATTGCGTCACATCATTACGTCCTAGCGAAGGGCTTTCTTTTTTCACCGAGTATTTGGAAAGATCTGGGACCATTTGCAGACGCATTTAATGTGCATAAGCCTGATCTCCGACTAGATGCAAAGTTTAAATGGGGTTTGAACACGTGATCCGAGATCCTATCATTGTGATCAATGAAGTCAATATTTCTGTCACTTTTGATATTATTCTCATCAAAGAAATGATAAACCACTCTCATCAATGATTGTATTGTCTTCAGACGTTCCAACATTATTTCACACATTTATTGCTCTTTCCTATTTGATCCTATGTTGAACAACCAAACATCGTATGATCTTTGTTGAGGACTCCGAATGGTCGATGGGAATAAACTTTTTTTAGAAATGCCAGTGTGGCCTGATCCTTTGGTTTACGAGTTACAAGGAATTACCTTGAAATCCATTATTCTGTAGAATACATTTTAGATTCATTTATGGTAAATAATAAATGAAAATAATGTGCCTTGGAGCTTTTCGTGCGAATCATTTAATAATGTTGAACGAGACGCTTATAACGCATAATTACTTTTTTTCAAGATCGAGGCACTGGCGACCCGAGGAATAAATAAAATTGAAAAATTTTTATTTTTCGCAAGATTATGCGCTGAAATGGGTTAGCTGACTTTTCCTGCGACACAGATGCTTGATACTGTGGGGGATTATCGTGACCCATTATCCCTTACATAACCAGGCTCATTTGACCGAAATTATGTAATCATTCGACCAGAATTATAAGTGTAAAATCCATTGTACTGTTTATATTGTGTGTAAATTATATAAATTACAGTAACTTACTTAAATATTCAATATTTATTTTTCAATAATAAAAATGACAAATTTTATTTTTTAATATATATGATAATTTAATTTGATTATTATTATTAATATATTATATTTTTATAATTTATACAGTATATTATTAAAAATTTTTTTCATTAATTCTTTGATTATATATAAAAAAGATAGTTGTCAAAAGTTTTTTAACTTCTTAATTAATAAAATTTTATTATTATTCTTAAAACAATTTAAAGAATATTTTCAAAAATTATTATACTTTTTTTTTTTGTTTACAAATTTTTTTAATCAAAACTTGACTTTTAATAATTAAAAAAAAAATTAATAAATATTTTTACTACTAATGATAATAAAGTTTTTAAAAAATTTTTTTTAATTGTAAAATATTTAAAGATATTTTATCTTTAAAATAATTTATTTATAAAGATTTTTTTTATAATAAAAAAGTTTATTATTTTTTTTATCAGTTGTTATAATCTTTTTAAAACTTTCACATTTATAATTTTTTTTAGAAAATTTTACTTATTTTAGTTTAATTCTAAATTTTTGAATAATACAATTTTTATCAAAAATAATTAATTAATATAAAATACATTAATTTTGAAAATATAAATAAGTTTTTATTAATATGATTTAATAATATTATTAATAATTGAAAAAATTTTTTTTTGAAAATATATTTTATCAATTAAGACAATTAATAATATTAATAAATAAATAATAAGTATATAATATATTGATTCTTTGACTATACACAAAAAAGATATTCGTAAGAAGTTTTATACTTCTTTTTTAATAAAATCTTAATATTTTCCTTAAAACAACTTGAAATACAATATAACTTCAAGAGTCACATCTACCTTTTTTCTTTTGTTTACAAATCTTTTTACTCAATTTAACTTTTAATGATCAAGAAAAGTCAAGTAATATCTTTAATATCAATGGTAAGAAAGTTTTAAAAAGAAAAAGAACTAATTGTGAAGTATCTAAAGACCTATCTAATCTTTGAAATGTAAGGTTTATGAAGATTTTCTGTAGTAAAAAGGCCTATTTTTTATTTTTTGATTGTTTTGACCCTCTTAGAGCTTTCACTTTCATAATTTTCTGAAAAATTTTGCCTACCTCAATTTAACTTTGAATTTTGAATAACACAAATCCTTACTTAAGATAATTAGTTAATATAAAATATATTAGTTTTTGAAATATAAACAAGCTCTTATTGAATCTATTCATATATTCTGATGATATTATTGATGATTGAAAAGAATATTCTGAAAATATTTGCCTTCAAAAGTTCAAGTTCCTTAATAAAGACTTCTATAATATCAAAAGATCAAGTAATAGATAATATAGATTACAAACTTTTATCTTTTATATAAGTTCTTTATATAGTAATAAAGTTTTAATGAAAAAAAGCTAAAATTTAAATGCTTTTCTTGAGATATTTTAATTCAATTTTTATTTAAATAAAAAACTAGTTGGATTGATTTATTTGATATCACAGGTGATAAAAAAGAAGATTTCTTTCAAGGTTCAAGTGAAGCAAGAAGACTATTTGAATTGGATAGATTTTTTTTTAGAAAAGATTATTTTTATTTTTGTATTTTTTTGATGGACCTTTAATTGTCATCTTTTCCTAATTATTTTTTTCTTTTCTCTTTTTAACTTAGCAATTCATTGATTTTAGAACAATCAACAGTAAAATTCTATTGATAATTATCTTAATAGATAAAGATTATTACTAATTTATCAAGAAAATATAATATTGTTCTCAAAATTTGACTTATGATACTTATATATTAATTTTTATTATTATTATTATTTTTTTTAACCCACAATTATGCCACAATGGCATGTCTTTATTGAAAAATTGAAATGAATTTACAATATTTTATAGACTTTTACAAAGTGACTAACTCGTCTTTATATAAAAGTACTCTAAGTCAGATTTTGGAAACAATATTTCACTCTCCTAATAGATTAATAATAACCTCTATCTATCAGGATCATTGCCAACAGTTTGTTACTATAGATTGCCTGAAAACCAATGAATTGCTAAGTTAAAAAAGAGGAAGGGGAAAAAAGAATTGGAAAAAGGGAACAATTCAAGGCCCACAAAAAAAAAATCCAAAAATAAAACAACCTCTTCTCAAAAGGGATCTGTCTGATTGGGATAGTCTTCTTGCTTTACTGAATCTCAGAAGAATCTTCTTTTTCACTACCTGTGATATCAGACGAGTCAATCCAACTGGTCTTTCATTTAAGTGAGCACTGAATTGGAATATCTCAAGAAAAGTATTTAGACCTCAGCTTTTTCCATTAAAGCTTTGTCACTACTTGAGGAACTTAGGTAAGAGATAGGAGTTTGCAATCCATATTACCCATCACTTGGTTTTTTGGTATTATGGAAGTTTTTATTGAGGGACTTAAGCTTTTTTGGGGCAAACATTTCCAGAATCTTCTTTCTAATTACCAATAATATTATCAGAACACGTAAGTGTGATCAATAAGAACTTGTTTACATTCCAAAGACTAATGTATTTCATGTCAGCCAATTACCTTTGGTAAGGATTTGTGCTACCAAAAATTCAGGGTCAAACTGAAGTAGGCAAAATTCCCCAAAAAACTATGAAAGCGATAGCTCTAAGAGGCCCACAAGTGACTGGAAGGGGAAAAATAAGTTCTTCTGTCATCAAAAACCTCTATATACCTCTCGCTTCAAAGATTAAATAGGCCTTCAGATACTTTACAGTCAGTTCTTCTTCCTTTGGAAACTTTTTTGCCATTGGTATCAAAGGTGTTACTTGACTTTTCTTGGTCACTTGAAGTCAAGTTTTTGAATGAAGAGGTTTGTAAACAAGAGGGAAAGAGTAAAAGTGACTTTTGAAGTCATACTTCAAGTTGTTTTAATGAAAGTATTAAGACTTTATTAGCAAAGAAGTATAAAAACTTCTTGCGAACATCTTTTTTGTATATGGTTAAAAGATCAGTGGAAAGAGTTTTTAGGATCAGCGAAAAGAGTTTTTTATATATAAATTATAAATTATATTATAAATTATATTATTTATAAGATATTTTTATTAAACATCAACTCTTTCCGCTGATCCTCTGACCATACTCAAAAAAGATGTTTGCAAGAAGTTTTTATACTTCTAAGTTAACAAAGTCTAACTACTTTCTTTAAATCAACTTGAAGAAAACTTCAAGAGTCATCCCCATATTTTCTACTTCTTGTTTTTACCTCTCTTCAAGCAAAAACTTGACTGCAAGTGATCAAAAAGTCAAGCAACACCCTTCTTACCAATGGCAAGAAAGTTCTGAAAGAAAGAAGAACTAATGTACAGTCATCTTACACTGTAGAGAAACAATACAGAGTGTTGTTTGTGACAAGAGACTCCTCTCCCACTCTCTTTGTCATTGTTTACACTCTAATAGTACTCGTTTCTGGGGTTTTCTGGGGAATTTTGCCTACCTCAGTTTGACCCTGAATTTTGAGTAGTACAAAGTTTCTCACACCGTGATTGAACAGAAAATTCTACATTAGTAAAAGATGTAAACAAGCTCCCATTGGTCACCTCACGTGTCTGAATGCATTTTCTCAGTACCCATAAGAACCTGGGATCTACTATAAGTCATTTATCTGTGGTGCAAGTGGATACAGGACATGAATACCTATGACATTATCAGTTACATGGAAAGAAAAGTATTGGATTAGAACACACTGGATAGAAAACAATAGCTTCCCACTTCTCCTTTCCTACTC